GATACTGAGGGATGCAATTTGAATACAGGGCTTTGGTTTCTGCATCACTGGATTCTAGTGCTAAGGCGACACTAATCAAAGAAGAAACAAAAATGGTAGGTGCCTCTTCCTGATTTTCTTGGTTTTGTTGACTCAAAAGATGCATATGAACTTTTCTGGTTCGAAAATGGCTTACTCACTGCAGCCTCGTGCCTGCACCGGCTAAAAACTGATTTTCCCTCTTTGGGGACCTATCTTTTCCCAAACACAGATCATATGAGCATTCAAATTCTAGTTTGATGCTTGTTAACTCAAAAGGACACGCGACAACCGTAAAATTTTATGCTCGTTAATCTCGTGGTTTCAGACATTATTTGAGACCCGTCATGACACAGTTCGTATGAATGGAATGGAATGAAATATTAATTAAAGTTTTGACGTAATCAAGAAGGTAGAGCCTGAATTGTTGCCTAGGGGAATGTCCCAACCCATCAACGAAAGCATTTGGTACAGAGGTAAATGCACTCATGTTTGTTCTTGCGATGCTTGGGATTCAAGCATCGCCATGGATGCTTGAGGCTAAACCTAATGCATCCATGGTGGGTAAACGGAGCAGCCTATCTGTTTTGAATTTGTAATTCTATATTGGGTAAATTACACATTTAGTACATAAACTATTAATTTTTGCCCGTTTTAGTACCTAAACTTCCAATTTTTTTCAAAATCATACTTAAAGTTTAGTTTTTGTTTCATTTTATTACCTTGTTCAAATTTAACATTAAATTTTGAAAAGATTAAAAGTTTAGGTACTAAAAATGACCAAAACCGATAGTTTAAGTATTAAATACGTTAAGTTTTTAATGACAAAGTACTAAAATGAAAACTAAATATTATGTATGATTTTTAAAAAAAATTAAAAGTTCAAGTGTTAAAATGAATTAAAACTGATAGTTTAAGTACTAAATGATTATTTGCTCTTTTATATTTTAGACATGAGAAATTCAGTCCCTAGTCCCTACATAAAAAGCTGTACAGGTGGAATGAGCTGGATTATCATCATAGCGATGGTACTACTTGCTATAGCTGTGTATTTTATGGAGGAGAAGGGAATCATACCCTAATCAAGGCCTGATAAAATTGCAGTCCAAGTGTTGTTCCAAAGTTTTGAAATTTCTTGTGGCTAACTTAACATAGTTTATTACATAAAAGCTGCATGAAATTAAAATTCCAAAATCATTGTTTTGATTAATATTTAAAATATGATTAATATTTTATTTAACCATTTATCAAATCAATTTGAAAACACCAACCCAATGTTTACGACATTACATATAGATAAACATTTAATTTTGTTTAACCTTGTATTATACTAGGCTAAGGTCCACTGCTCGAATCAAAGGCAAGGCCTTTACCTACAAATAAAATATATTCGACAATATAATATTCAAAATATATATCGTGTAACACGAATCAAACTATTTCAATAGTTAAAGGAGTGGTTGTTATTCTTATAGACCCTATATTCGATGACCAATGATGATAGGATATTCGAGTGTTTATTGTCAAATAGATGAATGAAAAAAGCATAGGATAAACTATACAAGAGATCATCCAACTATAATCTTTTTTCATTTTGACCACTATTTTTGAATTCTTGTCAATTAGGCCATACAACTATTTAAATGTATTCAATCAAGCTAGTTGCTGTTAACATTTAACGAAAATGCTGATGTGGCAGTTAATAAAATTAGTATAATTACACATTCAGACATTGTTACTCATATATTATCTCAATTTGGTCCTAAATTTAATAAATTAAAATAAATTTAATTTTCGAATCAAATTATGCTACGTGTCACTAATACAAAATATCATGACACATGTCGTTAAATTATCAATTTTGGTCTGTTTTAATACCTAAACTATCATTTTTTATCTGTTTTAATACCTAAACTTTCAATTTTTTAATCCCATCATTAAAAACTCAAAGCGTTTAATACTTAAACTATAAGTTTTGAATCAGGATACTAAAATGAAATAAAATTAAACTTTAGGTATGGTTTTGAACAAATTAAAAATTTAGGTATTAAAACGGATTAAAATTAAAAGTTTAGGTATTAAATGCGTAGTTTACCTTAAAAAAAAGACTATAGTGCGTGTTAAAGACGCTCCAAAAGCGACGAGTAGGGGAAGTAGGCCTCGTTATGACAAGTGTAAAAAAGGATTTTGACTCTGATACACTTGGTGGACTAGATGATGGGAAAAAAGCGAAATCCAACGGAAAAAAGAAAAGAAAAGATTCTTTTGTAATCAGTCAGATTTTCTCTCTCTACTCAAAGTCAACGCATTTCTCTCACCCTCTACTTTTTCTGTTCCAACTTTCTTAAGTCTTGTCGTTTAGTGGCTCTTAATATAAAGTCTCACGTGATCGTCTTAATATTTAGTTATTAGTTAAGGAAATGTGCTATTGATTTTATTATTATATTTTAATAAAATCGGTAAAAATTTATATGAAATATTATTATTTCTATTGATTTTGTTATTATTGGGCACTTTATTAATTTTGTTAACATATCAGATAAAATACTACTTAAAACATTTTTTCTACATGTTTTGTTATTATTAGGCATTTTACCAGAAATGTTAAAAAAATTAATGTTTTAAGTATAAATAATATTTTAGGTAATATTTTATCGATTTTATTAAAAAATAATAATAAAACCGATAGAGTCTTTCTTTAGCCATTTATTAAAGTTTTCGTACGTTAGAACTTTTCGGCTCTTAATTTTTTATACAAAAATAATATATAAAATATTCACTGATAAAATCGGTAATAAATTCATAAATATTTTTTAATATAAACACATGCGTATTAAAATTATTTTATACATGAATGAATATACGTAACAATTAATAAAATAAATAATTTAAAAATTAAGTTAGATATTTATTCTAAATATAATATAAATTTTTATGTAAAAATAATTTGAATATTATAAAATCCTATTATATTATGATCCTTTAAAATTCTAGACCTTACCAAAATATTTGACCTTTTATGTGACTATATCTACTAGTAGTTGATTAAGGTTGAATGAATTTGCAGCCACACATTTTCTAATTAATATTTATTTAGCTTACTTTGATTATAAATTAAAGAGTAAACTACGTCAATGGTTAATAATGTTTGGGTAAGTTTCATTTTCACCACTGATGTTTGAAAAGTCACAAATCGATCACTAATGTTATCGGTTATTACAAAATGATCACTCGACATTAACAACCGTTAATGTGGGTGATGGAAAGTTGATATGTCACGTTAACTACTGATTTGGTATTGCTTAACCATTATTTTGACCTACCCTTCTCCTCCCTCTCCCCCCTCTCGTCTCCATACTTCTTTTAACTCATAACCCACAATTTTTTGGATGAATTAAGCTTTCGTTCCAACCTCAAAAAACTCAATACAAAGGTCCTCCTAAACTTCATTCAACCAATCCTAAGAATAACCTTACCCAGATTAGAAATGTGGAAGTATTCGAACCATGCGACGTAGTAAGACGTATGATGACATGAAAAGTCACGACTCACGACTCACAACATCTTTCATTTCTTCATTTGCAAAAGAGCAAAATCAACCAAAGATGGTTCGGTTGAAAAAGAAGAAAAAGAAGAAGAAGAAAAAGGAGGGGTTGGGTTGAAGAAGAAGAGAGAGGAGGGGTTGGGTTGAAGAAGAAGAAGAGTCGATCAAAATGGTCTAATATAATCAAATAATACTAAAATATTAGTAGTTAATGTGCCATATCAGCTTACCCTCAACCACGGTAACATTGGTTAACATCGAGTGACCATTTTGTAACGAACGATAACGTCAGTGATAAATTTGTGACTTTTTAAACATCAATGGTGAAAATGAATACATACCCATACATTAGTGGCCCTTGGCGTAGTTTACCCTAAATTAAATTCAATGCTTTAAGATCGTTTAAGGATATGTATGGTTAAGCATTTATTGATTTTTTTTCTTCTTACAAGTGACTTTATGACACCAATTAACGCTGTTTAGTGATTTAATAGAATTTATTGTATCAATCAATATAATAACTTTAAAGTAGTTTTTTTTAACCTTTCAATAAAATTAATAATCTGTTTTAAATAAATTTATATTATAATTGTTTGTCTAAAATGAAATATTAGAAATTAAAATGCTTTAAAATAAAAATAAGAGTCAAATTGATTATTTAATCAGATATTAGGGTACTATTATTATTATTATTATATATATATATATATATTATTTTTTATAAATATTTTTATACTAAATTTATAAAAAATTAACATACCCTCGTAATAGGCTGGCTCCGCTAGTATTCTCACCGTTAAAATTAACCGATGATTATTTTGAAATCCTGACCTTTACGTTAACTACCAATTTGAAATTTTTAGATTTTTAGGAAAGAAGACTCTAATATGCCACATCAATTTTTATTAACAACTGACAGCAGTTAATGTGACTGAAATACCATTTCTAAAAGTTAGATGACTAAAATGAATGCAAACTAAAAGTTCAGTGAACATCAGTTTGGTTTACCCTATTTTGTTAGGGTACATGGGGGAAAGCACTGGTAGTGGAGTTCATGATGAGCGAAACCGAAGAGTGGGCAGAATAAAAGAGATGGAGAATCTAAAAAGGAACGGATAAAAGGGCAAAAAGAAGTAACCTGGAAACTAGGCTTGAGCAAAATTAGAATCGACTCGAGAAATCAACTGAGTTAAATTGATTTCGGATTATAATTTTATAAATTTGATTTGAAAATTTTTTAAGTTTAAGTTAAATTATAAAATTTAACTCGAATAAATTGAATAGGAATTCAAATAATTTGAAATTTTTAATAATTAGATGATTGATTTTTATGTATGAATCAAATTCCTCAATTATATATATATATATACATATGTATTGCACACCTCCCCAAATATTTCATAAAAATCATTTCTTTTCCTAAAAAAACAAAACCCAGTTTTTCCTCATTTTCATCTTCTCCTTCTTTTGGTCCCTCTTTCAATTCCTAAAACTTGAACACAACATTCACTCCCTATTTTATTTCGCTGAAAAGGGGGAAAAAGAGAAACTTTAAGAGAAGTAGTGGGTGTTTATTGTTTAAGAATGGAGGGACTGCCCACTGGTTATCGCCCCAACGTTGGTGTTTGTCTAGTCAACTCTGATAATCAGGTACCCTTTCTTTTCTTTTTCCTTTTTTTTCCATCTTAGATTTTGATACCATGGGCAATTGAAAAGACCAAGCAGTCTTATGTTGAAATCAAATTAAATTAAGTCAAATTTAGATTTTCTATTCTTTGAAAGAACTCATAGACTTTTCTTTATTTACTGTTTATTGAGAAAAATGTTTAGAATTGAGAAAAGAGAAGTTCTTGGATTACCTATGATTTAAATTTCCATTTTTTGTGTGTGAAAAATTGTACTTTTGATGGGTTTCTTAGGTTAGTTCTTGAGGAATATATGGATTGAAAAAAGCTGATATATTTTTTCTCTGGTTGCAGGTTTTTGTAGCTTCCAGACTGAATGTTCCAGGAGCCTGGCAGATGCCTCAGGTAATAGACTGTTGAATCTCCATTTATTTGCAGGCCTCAATCCTCATTGCTTAATGAGAATTCAAATAATTCTGGGATTTTACTTAGGGGGGTATTGAAGATGGAGAGGAACCAAGATCTGCAGCTATCAGGGAATTGCTAGAAGAAACGGGTGTTGTATCTGCCGAAATCATTGCTGAGGTTTTGCTAAAGAAAATCTGCAATTTTTCTTCATTGTATGTCACTCACCATTGCTACCAAGCATCTAATTAGCATTGTGGTTTGGCAGGTTCCTAATTGGTTAACATATGATTTTCCTCCGGCCGTGAAGGCGAAAGTGAATCGACTCTGGGGAGGCGAATGGCATGGCCAGGCACAGAAATGGTTTGTTCCTCATTCCTTCCATTCCTATTATCTACTAGAAGAAATGTCACACTGGTTTTGAATTGGATTAGTTTAGTTTTTAATGTAATTTTACTGTTTTAGCTATTGGCTTCCGAATTATTGCTTGCTGCAGTCGCCGCCTCTAACATGCCGATCGCGGCATGTTTCTCGTTATGTTTTATGTGAATTCATGTACCCTTTTTATTATGCTGTGTAAGGAGGAAAAACTGAATCTTGTGGACACTTGCATGGTATCTTTTATGTTTGTTTCTGGAGCTGATATGCTCTCTTCAGCAATATGAAAGTGAGTTTGGAGTACTATCCTGTCTCGAAACTTTTCCGTCTCCCTTTCCCTTTGCAAGCAGGAGCATGAAGATGACTTCATACTTTTTGTTAAATTAAGCGATGAAAGCATAAGAAGAAACTAGGAGAGTTGTTTTCATATGATTTATGAGCTTACAAAAGATTGGGGCACTCGACAGGTTTCTTATGAGATTAACAAAAGATGAGAGTGAGATCAACTTAGCAACGGGCGAGGCCGACCCGGAATTCACGGAGTGGAAGTGGACAATCCCTGAAGAGGTCGTTGAGCAGGTATTATGCCCGTATGCCGTATGCAGTTGCTGCATCATGTTTGATACATTAGTACGGTAGATGCATTTTAAGATGCATATCATGAATATCCTTGTCTCAATAAATTGGCTGCAGGCTGTGGACTATAAGAGGCCGACGTATGAAGAAGTTATGAAGACCTTCGGGCCTTATCTAAGCGACCATAGCAAAGCCGGTAAATGTAAATAGACAAAATGGTGAACGCTGTGCCGTGTTTCTTGCTTGTAAGATTGAATCCATCTTCGCCCTCTCTCTCTCTCTCTCTCTGTAAGTGGACATGGCACGTTAGAACTTTTTATGAGGCTTACATTGTTGTTTCATTGTAATAACATGTTTGTGCGAACCATATATGATGGTCCCGGGCTTTCTCCTTTCTAGACATTTCGCAAATCGGAATTCTTATGCTTTTATCGTTTTCTCTTTCGAGTTTCGAACTTTCCGATTTTCCTTTTCGTTTTCGACAGTTCCGCAGCGTAGAGTATCCATTATCGAATACGGGTATGAAAATAGTGTAGTAAACATAACAGGACATATGTGATCACACAGAGAAGCAGCTGTTAGTGGTGCAGTTTGTAGGTAATTTGGTGCACCTGTTCCTTGGTAAAAAGGTTAATGAGAAGCTAACTCCCCATTTCTATGGCCCATATGAACTGGAGAGGTGGTTTTTTTGGCCCAATAGGGCACCTGAAAAAATTATATTGAGACATTATTTTCGAAACTACGGCATTTTCTACAGTACTTGAAGAACCATAAATTAATTGAACCCAAAATTTAAGGTTACTAGGGCATAGATCCAGTACCATATTAATTGGACTTCACCTTAACAAAAGCCTGATTTTTTCAGCCTTGTCCTTGAAAACACAAGACCCGACAAATCTTTGATGAATGTTTTGAGTTCGGTAATAACAACTAGGAAACGCATGAAGGGGTTCCCATGATCCTGTCCGGGACAAACACCTTACTGGCGGATCCATAAATTTAAAATTAGGGTCTAAAATTTTATTTTATTTAAAAATTAATGGATATGTAAAAAAAATTCTTTTTTTCTTTTTTTCCTTGACACCTTGAACTAAATTTAATCATTTTTTCTTAAATAATGGGACGCACTTGACCCATATGGGACTTATACATCCGCCTCTGCTCTACTATCTAAATATTATCTCGAATCCGAATTTATTTCAATTAAACATTCATGCATGTGCGTTTAGGATTCGTGACTACGAATCGGGTTATCTTCTTAAAGTATAATGCATCTTATCGGTACACTTAACCCACAGCACGAGTTAAATCTAAGCTGATTCCGAACAGAACGAATTGACCTTTCCATCAGAATTCAACCCGAAAATCTGTCACAGAGAAAACATGAACTCAACATGTCCCCAACTCCCTTCAAATATGTCCCATATTTTTTTATCTCAATAAGAATCCAAGAGGGTAAAAAGAAAATCGAAAAAGAAACGAGATTGTTGAATGCAAACCCTTAGCTGTCTTTGGGAACAAAGATGAGTCATGACAAATGGTAATTAAGTGCAGCCTAGCATTTTGCCGTAAGGGCAGGGTTTTTTGTTGCCGTGGGAGTGACACTATCTTAAAAGAATGTTCTTTCACATGGAATACTTTGGACTCAATAAACAATGGTGATTTAAGCAATGCCCCACCACCATTGCATGGGAACCCTATCTTCCATACAAATTTCTCATTGCCATTATCCCGAGTTTTATTATTATTTTTTCATCTAGGGTTGATTAAACCCTAGCTTAAGAATGATCATGGCTCGAGATCGATGCCGGTTTATGTCGAGTCAAAATATTTGACGGAACACGTGTCGGACCGGTACCGGGTGTGGTTGGACGTCCACATAACAATGCATGTGAGAAACGGTGATAGCATGCCTATTAAGAGAGGGGGTTTCTTGGGACAAATGAACTCTTGGGAATTGGAGCAAAAGGGGATTGTTTTCATATCATCGGTCCAAACGAGAAATATGAACAAGCCCCAATGGAAGAAGGGTTCGTTCCTTGACGGGTGAGCTGATTGTTTGCAGTTGGTCTTACACGAGCACGTGCTTTTGTTGAATGTCGAGGGACCTTGTGTTGGCCTTTAACAAGATCCGACGACCCTTTAAAAGAGGTCATTAATGGTACCAAATAACAAAAAAAATAGAGGTCATTAATTAGATTATTATATGTTTTGGGATTGGCTTAACAGTACTTTAGATCTTAAGAATGTATCTAGCAAGCTTCATCAATAGCATTGCATAAAAGGGCAGCCTTTATATCAAGGATAGATCGAAGGAAATGGATAAAGATGACTACTCTTAAAATTTTATCCCGATATAAAATTTACGTCCGTCTCTATTTTCCTCCGCTCTTTTGCTCCTAATTTAAATCAGATATCGTTTCCAACCTTTTTTTCAAGATGATTATCGAGTAGCTAAGAGGTACCCTACCATTGGCATGTTGTCATTGGGTTGCACATGAATATATAAATTAGTGATTGTCCTTTTGTGTATGTACGCATATGCATTGGTAGATAATATATGTAAGATCGTTATTGTTTTTCGTGGTAAGGGAATGGATCATGGACCAAGAAATGGGCATTGTATTTCCATTTGCTAACCATATACTTGTGTCCAAAATAATATTTTGTTTTTAAAATAAACACCAAAGTCCAAGAGTAGACCTTTCTAACTAGCAATAACCGAGCGAATTCAGTGGTAAAAGAATTGTTGTTATTCTTTGAGGTCTCATGTTCGAGCACTAGAAATATCAGGGGTATGAGCTTTAATGTCAAATGATTGAGAATTTATCTTTGAACAAATAATTAACTCAGATCAATAAAAAAAGGGAAAAAAGTATAGTTAAAATCAATCTCGATTAATATTAGATTTCAAATTTAATATTTGAACAATCTCTTACTTGATGTGCACGTGCGGGTGATAGCAATTGTATTCCAATTGCATGTGGACTATCACATGCCCTATCTATTTATATTATAATCATATATGGAGTTAACTGCACGAAACATCCCTAAACTATGCTCAAATATTATATCAGTTTACAAACTTTGAAACATTTGAAATAGTCTCCTAACTATCAATATCATTTCAAACACGTCATTTTATTAATTTAGAAAACCGTTTAAGCATTAAATGTCAATTTGAATCCGACGTGAATCATATTTAAAATTTTAAGATCAAATTTTAAACATATGTACATATGTTGTATCGACAATTTGGATCTGTCCTGATAAAGATCGACTGTCATTAAAATTTAACAGGCTTATTTTTTTAACACGTCATATCAAAGTTAACCATACAGTCATGGATAATGTTTAAAATTTGATACACATGTTTTAAATACGTTTCACATCATATCTAAGTTGACATTAACTACTCAAATAGTTTGCTAAACTAACGTAAAGACGTGTTTAAATGATATTGATAATTTATGGACTAATTTGGAATGTTTTAAAGCTTAGGGACTCCTGGTGCACTTAACTCTAATATATATGATGAAAAGAAACTTTACAATCTGCTGCACGATAATAACCATGAACTGAGTGCGTGAGTGACCAATGTTTTTTTTATAGGCTTATGGCATGGGTCCTTAACTTTTAGGATAAATTATGCATTTAGTACATAAATTATCAGTTTTGGTTTGTTTTAGGATCAAACTTTTATTTTTTTCAAAATCATATCTAAAGTTTAGTATTTGTTTCATTTTAGTATCCCGTCGTTAAAAACTTCAGTTTTTGTTTCATTTTAGTATCATGTTCAAAAATTTAATGTTAAGTTTTGAAAAATTGAAAGCTTAGCTACTAAAATGGACCAAAATTGATAGTTTAGGTACTAAACACGTTAAATTTTTAACGGCAAGATACTAAAATGAAATGAAAACTAAATATTAGGTACGATTTTAAAAAAATTAAAAATTTAAATACTAAAACGAACCAAAACCTATAATTTAGACCGTAAAGGTGAAGTTTACCCTAACTTTTATGCATGTTTTTGTGTGATGAGAGTACACGTGGACCACGCTCCATCTTCGTCTTCAGTCCTTTCCATTCTTTTTTCTTTACACTCATAATTCTCCCATTCCTTCCCCTAACCCTATCCATGCTTTTGCAACTTCCATCTAATTTCAATTCCAAGCAAAGTGAATCCAAGTTTATATATATATATATATATATATATATATATATATATTAACAGTGACATATCCAAAAATATTATTAAAGATGGACACACATACACATACATTAAAAACATAATTTTTTTGTATGAAATGTGCACAAATAAAGTTATAGAGTAAGCATAACCAGTAAAATAAATAATTAATAGAAAGAAACTCAAATTTTATGATAGACATTTACCTACCCTAAATTATATTTGGATCTATCACTAGATATTAAGAGGCAGACTGAGAACTCAGAACTTATTTACATGATATCGTTATCGATACTACATGTTGGGGAAAAATGTAAGAACCAAATCATAATAAATATAAAAATTAATCAGGATCTAATCATGTCAAATTATCAAGAATAAAAAAAATGGAATGCAGAAGCGTATATGAATTAATTGATAAGTTAAAATCCTTGAATCTTTATTTGGTTGTGATCTTCCAAGAAGATAGAATTCTCTTAAGTATAAACTCTCTATCACAGATAAGAGTAAATACGGGATTGTCTATTTCTTGGAGACCATAACCCCTTTAGATAGCTGATTTAAGAATCAATTATTTTCTGTACTTATAACTTTGCCCCTCATCGAATTATAAATACAATTTTAGTAGTATCTACTCTTTTATTTCCATGTCAATTCTAATACCTTATGACTTTATAATATAATTAGTCCCTTAATTAAAATATCAAATATCAAATATCAAATTGTTGTATTATCTTTGGATTACTCCTTCATAGTTAAGATTTTCGAAGAATATTTTCAGATGTAGTAAATTCATGATCTTTTCACACGAATCAAAATCAGTTGACAACTAATTTACGAGTAGTTATCATAATCCTTTGACTGGCATCATCATCATGGGTTACTATAAAAATATCTCAGCCGAGGCTGGGAGAGGGATTTAGTACTACTTTTTCATTTATCCCTCCTCTACATCTACACGGGGACATAAGACATCAACATTGGTCAACTACTGAACAACCACCAGCTACGACTCTCTACTCAAATCATAATAAGTGAACCACCAACTATCAGTGTAACTCATTTGATCTTATCAATACGAATAAGCATAATATCAAAAATAGCCCCCAATATTTTCTAAAATAGTTATTTTGGTTCATATTCTTTTTTTTGAGTATTTTGGTCCCCAACGTTTCACTTTAAAGCAAAAAGCTCCCTCTATA